ACAAGCGTACCCACACTCACATCCACACCTACCTCGCATTGCAGAAAATGCCGAAGCCACGCAAACGCCGGACACTCGCCCAGCGTATGCTGAGCGGTGTCCGTCACATTCACACCGCATTCATAACACCTCGGCGATTGTTCCCTGTCGATCCAGCGCCGGTACCAACCGAAGCACCCGTGCCCGATCAGCACCTGCGTGATCCGGAACGAGAGCCGCCCGTGACCACGATCCATCCACTGTTCGAGGCGTGGAAGGATCGCCCCAACCGCGCGCTTCTCCGCGGCCCCGCTGGCGATGAGCTCCGCGCGCCAGCGGGAGACAGCGTCACGGCGGGCCTGGAGCCTGACCTCCTCGACGCTTGGTTCCGGCGGGCCACCCCGAAGTTCCCCGTCCAGGCGGAGGGCGCATCGGTGCCGATACACCTCCGCCTCCACCTCCGCCTGGTACTTCCAGGGGATTACACCCGCCAGAACCATCGCCGACTCCCAGGAGATCGTGCGGTACCCCATAACCACCACTCACCCCTCGGCCGCGTGCAATGGTGTCCCGGGTCCCCCGACCCGAGACACCTGCGGCCTTGGCGGACCCCGTCAAACGGGCATTCGGGACCACGGACGGAAGTCCGCCAAATCCCGGAAAATTGGGACGGAAGCTGTCGCCGGGGAGGACGACAGCCCCGTCACCCCATCTCACACACGCACACTATAAACAAAAACATAAATGAATATTAGCACGCACCACTCACACATTACACTATATTTTACAATATTCACACTCACACTCCTCACCTATCCATTCGCACACACACCCATTCATGCTCCATATTCACACAACACATTCACTCCCGATCATTCTCTCCCACCCATTCAGACGATGCGGTCCGATGGACCGCGGGCGACGCGGGGAGGCCGCGCCGCCCCACTAACCTCAGGAGTCAGGCCGGGCGGCCGGACCCGAAATTCCCGGCCTGCGTCTTCTTCTACTCGCGACCTCCCCGCGCCGCTCCCTCTCTCTCTCCGCCTGCTCTTTGTGAGACATTACTGTCTCACAAAAAGCGGCCACTGCATTCCATGCACATTCACTCTTCAACATACTCTCCACAAGCGCACTCACACTCACGTCCACACCTACCTCGCACTGCAAGAAGTGCCGAGGCCATGCATACGCCGGACACTCGCCCAGCGTATGCTGGGCGGTGTCCGTCACACCCACTCCGCACTCATAGCACCCCGGCGATTGCTCCCTACCGATCCAGCGCCGGTACCAACCGAAGCACCCGTGCCCGGTCAGCACCTGCGTGATCCGGAACGAGAGCCGCCCGTGGCCGCGATCCATCCACTGCTCCATTCGTAGAAGGATCGCCCCGACCGCGCGCTTCTCCGCGGCCCCGTTGGCGATAAGCTCCGCGCGCCAGCGGGAAACAGCGACACGGTGGGCCTGGAGCCTGACCTCCTCGACGCTTGGCTCCGGCGGGCCACCCTGAACATCCCCGTCCAGACGGAGGGCGCATCGGTGACGATACACCTCCGCCTCCACCTCCGCCTGGTACTTCCAGGGGATTACACCCGCCAGAACCATCGCCGACTCCCAGGAGATCGTGCGGTACCCCATAACCACCCTGGTCGCCAGCCGCCGCTCCACAAGC